TAATATCATGCAAATTAGGTAATTAACGAGCATGGATTTTTACCAAAACTAATCAAATCTGCGCATTGGCCCAGAGCATCTATGCACCAAGTTTCATCAAAAACCGATGTATGGTTCTTGAGATAGCAGTGGAACAGTCGGACACACATACACACACACATACACACATACACACATACACACATACACACATACAGACACACTAACTGCAAAGACTCCCATTTTGTGCTTCGCACATGGGAGTCAAAAAACAAAAATTTGAGATGTTGACACAAAATGAACAAATGAGAGAGAACCTCCCAGCAAAGCACCCAAGGCTACTGGTTTTCAGGTAGAAGATGAAAATATAAATGTTGACAGATGGACAGACAGCTGGACAGACAGCTGGACAGACAGCTGGACAGACAGACAGCTGGACAACTAGTAATATGAACAGCAATGACAGTGAAACTAAAAAGGAGTTCATCTTGGCAGGCAAAATAGAACACTCATGCGACTCGTAGAAAACGCACTGAATACACAAGATCAGTTTGACAGTTTAGCGTTCATCACATGCAATTTGAAGTACTGAATAGTCACCAGGTAATTATCAGTGATTGCATTATAACAATAACCAAAAACCCTTCAAAAAAAGAAAAAGACAGAGACAAAGCTTTGAATTGCATACTTACTTTAACTTTACGCACTTCATTGGCTTGAAACTCTGGTGTACAGTTATGGTGAATTATTCCAATACCACCTTGTAACTGAAATGAACACAAAGGTGTTAAAAATCAACCAAACTGAACTTGGTACATTTCAGATACTAATTCACCTTGACCAGATACTGAATATACACTGTAAAGACCAATAATCTCAAAAAACGAAAATAGAGTGAAATTCCTAAAAAAGTTTACAACTCTAACCTATGACCCAGTATCAAGGACGAGTGGATGGTCACTGAATGCATTTGAAAATGTAATTTAGAATAAACTAAAACAAATCTTACTGCTAATGCTATAGCCATATCTGCTTCAGTCACTGTATCCATTGGCGAGGACACACATGGTGTTCTGAGTGTTATCTTCTTGGTTAGTGCTGATGTTAATTCCTGGAAATGAGAAAAACACACGTTACAAAAAACTTGTTAAATACTGTAAAATACTTTATTCTAGCTGGAATTAATTTTTGCTGAAAAGACTTTTGAAGTGTTTTGTATGGAATTTATTTTCACTGATTTTTGACAAGTTGAATGTAAAATATAGGAAAAAAGGTATATTTGCTGGATTTTATTTTCACTGAATCGTTCCTTCAGCGAAAATTAATTCCAAGCGAAAGTATTTTACAGTGTATATAATCACATGATACATAGAGTTAGTCACCAGCAGACAAGTGATTAGTAAGTGATTGCGGCAAGACTGTTGGATCAACCAGAGAAGCGGTTATCATGAATGTCTACTGACGTCAACGTAGGGAAAATATCACAAGATTGAGATTGAGATTTATAAAATATTTCCACAGTACAAACTAGAGGAATGATGGGTAAATAACACCCAATACAAATACATCATTGAACAAGTTGTGTATGCTACCGGTAATGTTCTTGAAAGTATGATGTTCTATTTCACGTGAACGCCTTGCGTACGCTATGCGGCAATTCTGCTCATTCAAATATTTTATCAAACTTCCATGGAATTTTTTTTTTTTTTGAATTTCAACCATATTTTTTTTTGAAGGGAAATAATAATACTGAAAGTACACACACAAGCTTTAACCCAAATAAACTATGTTACTACATATTGTAGTTAACCACCACCACCACAAGAAAACTTAACTTTCTGGCTTTCGTACACTGAAAACAAGCAGCCAGTAGGCTGAGATTGCTCCGCTGTTAGCGATGCACATTTAAATTAAAGAACAGAAGATATCATTAGAAAATGAACAATATGCATAGTATCAATGCAATGGGACTTGCTGTTTTCAACAAAAATTCAAAAATATCATTTTTCACCATAAATGA